TTATTTTGTTGTTATGCATTTTTAGGAACCGTTTTTCCTTCACAAGGTGCTTCATAGCTAGATAGAGCTAAAGTCCAAACAGAAGCATTAAGACATCTATAATATGCTGAAAGCTAAACTAGTTTTTGCCCTGGTACTAAAGCATTTTATTATGAAGATTAAAATGTTGTGTGCCCCAGGCAGAGAACAAGAGCAACTTCACTGCCTAGTGTCCATGGCTCTTGCAATGGCAGGGAATTGACAGAGTGAAATTGGTCCATATGACCCCAGCAGGCAAACTGTACCCCCGGCTGGAGAGAGGGGGAAGGAACCTGCTGATTAGATTTGGGAAAAATTTCCTTCCCGTCCACAAATCTGGTGACTGACTATGATGAGCATGTGACTATGACCCACCAGGGACCCATCTGTAACTGTGGCCACTCTCTAATGCTTCAAAGGAAGGTAAAAAACATCCCAGAATATCTTTAACCAGTGGGGAAAATCATTCCTTCCTGACCTGTCTGGGTGACCATCTGAAGCAAGGGATTTGAGGTTGAGGTGTAGCTGCAAGAGTGGCGGCCACGTGAGGGGCAGTGCAGGCAATTTTGTTCTCCCCACATCCATGATGGCAGCTTACACAGTGGAGCTCAGAGATTGGTAGAATCCAGGGCCATAATGGATCACCACAACCATCCACCCCACCCAACCACCTCCACACACAGGTCACAGAATTTCTCCCAAAAGCTGTATTAAAGCAATATCTAATATCCTTAAAAAGAGTCCAAACAACAGGGAGCCTACCACTTCCCCCTGTAAGGGGTTCTATCGTTTGATTATTCTTACTACTAGGGAGCTCAATATTTTTCACTAAGTATTTTTTCCCACTAAGTATTTCAGTCAACATTAGATGACAAACTAGCGTTATTCCATACAACTAAAAGCCTATAGAATAATTTAGGAGGGAAATAGGGTCTAGTGATTGAAGTAAGAGACCAGGAGTCAGGACTCCTGGATTCTAATATACTATCTGCTGCAGCTGACTGTGTGTAACTTAAAGTACTGGGCTCATCTGTCTGTAACAAAGCTTAGCTATTTTCAGACCTGGGATAATTAAAGTTACCATAGATATTGGGAGACATGATGGGGAGACCCCAAGTACACCACTGGGGTGAGGAACACGGGAGAGAATTGTAAGTCTGAGCTCATTATACTTGAAGTTTTGATATTGTTGACAGTGCTCCAGATACTGCAAATTACCAAGTTGCCTGCACTTTTGACCAGGATTGCTTTCCCTTGAACTTTTGCTGAATCAATCAAATCTTCTCTGTATTACACCCATGAATGACCAGCAATTTGGAACCTCAGAGTTGTCTCAAAAAAAGGTCTGTCTGTCCTTTAGGGCCAGTGTCAAATTTAGAACCACCCAGTTTTTCTCTATATCATTCTCATGTCAGGTTCCCTTCCCCTTTCTGAGAAAGTCTGGCATTACCAGTCCTCTATTTCCTGCCAAACATGGGTACATATTTGGTTCAGTGTATAGTTCTGATCTCCTCAAGAATTAAGCAACTTATAACCTCATTTTGTTTTAGGTCTGTAGTTCCACTCAAGTAGGTGGACAACATGAGAAGGGCACAGGAGATCATAGAGACAGGTAGAAAATGGTCTTGCTTCTGTACAACAGCTTGGTTCTGACAATTCCAGAGGCTGTTCTGAAATCCTTTCTAAAACCCACATGTCTCAAGGAGCCAGAGACCTTGTACTTTAAACATATATCCTGTTCCTGCTGCCTTTGTCACCCATCTGAATTCCAACTCGGGCTTCTTCTCTCTCTCTCCAAATGTGCAGCTTGAGCGAGTGGCCTTCTGTAGTATTAACAGTAGGAGAATGAGGCATTACAAGATGGCTAAGATTGAGTAGGAGGGAGAATTTCATACAAGGGCAGCAGGACTCAAGAAAAGAGTCTTGGACTAGTTTGGTCTAATTTGGGTCAAACTGCAGTAGCCAAAAGTGTATTTCTGTTGCTACTGTGGCTTTACCTTGTCATCATATGAAGGAGGGATTTAGTTTCCATAGCTGTTCAAAAGATGAACATGAACTGGGCTTTGAGAACAAGGGCTCTGGCAGTCAGAAGCTCTGCATATGCTCACACCAGTTGTGCTAACTCTGCTTCATTATTTGACAAAAGGAGATGTAATCTGGTAGGAAACATCAGTACCAAGAATGGAAAGAGAAGGAGGCACCCTTGGAAATTTCTTAAGCAGGCCTAAAGGTTTGATGCTGTGGAAGGCAAGAGCCAAACTAAGAAGGCAAAGGCCCTAGGCTTGGTATTATTCATTTGCCTCATTACACAGTCCCATGGCTGAAAGGGAAGTGATGCTTTTGCCATTCTGCTGCTACTACTAAAAATATCCATGATGTACTTTACACCCACTACTGTGAAAACCTGCCTTCCCCACAACTATACCAAGAGGAAACGGCTAATTAATTGGCCTTTTACAGGGTAGATGTACATCAAGCAACCCTGTGTCTTATTGTATCCATCAAGGCCTGTGTAACTATGGATACTTGGTCAGCTTTGACTATGGCATCAGCCTTACACAGCAGTGCCCTTTCATTGGTGTGTATATCTGTTGGTGCTGGTGGAAGGATTTCATTACTGCTCCATCACTATGATTAAGAAGGAAATCAGGGAGAACTCTTAAAGACAGGGTATAAAAACGTGGTTAAACTGATCAGTAAAGAGGATACAAAATGGAAACATTTGCAATATGCTTTTGTCCGGTATATTTCCTGTTTTTAAAGTCCAGTCCATATTGACATAAAAGCCAGAGACATTTGAAGTAGATCAAGACAGAGGTTGCTGGCAACTTGTCAGCAATTCTACTTTGACCTTCTGCATCAGGTATGAAGGACCCTTCCACCCTCCATAAATGTATTTAACATTTCCATGAAGCTCCTTATTGCACTATGATTCAAAGAGAGATTTAAGGGAGAAACCACCTATCCTCACAACTCCCTCTGATAGCATAAGCTTAGGGCACCCGAAAGGGCACAAGGAGCAGGACAGGCTACAACGCTCGTGTCTCTGTGTTATCCTGAAGACAAGGGCTGTTAGCCATGGTGACTATACAGCACCCCATGAAGGAGCAGAGGAACAGATGCATTTCCTCTGCATGCTGGGTAATTCAGATAGGCAGAATTGTGCTTGCTCCACAGAATTCCCCAGGGGCAGCGTGGTGTTCTGTGATGCACCAACTGTACACAGCATCATTTACAGAGAAGCTGCTCACACTTGAAAATCTGCATCGTTCAGCAGTGACTGCCACCAGAGGCCAGGTGTACCTTGAGCTGAATGAAACAACAAGCTTGACTTTTCCATCTAGTACCAATGACTGATATTTGCAAGTGCTTGTTCACTGACAGCGATTCAACTACCAATGAAGCAACTCTTGATTTGGGTCAACCACATCCTGTTTCCTGGAATATCTGGGGACAAAAAAAAAAAGAGTGAAGGTTTCTTTTGTTGATACAATGAAGGCCTACTTCTGTTTTCTAAAAAGTCGGTAGTTACTTTCCTGAACCTGAGTCAATTCAGTTTCTGTCCACAGTCGCAAATGAGTAAAACTGAATAGAAAACAAGACTTAGTGCAATGCACAGCTCGAGTAAAGCCTCCTGGTCACCACCACTCTGTGTTTCTGCAATTTCTGGAAGCTTATGCTTCAGCTTTTGAAAAGCTTTATTGCTGTATTTTTCAATACTTTGCATGTGGAGACATGCACATTCTATACTTTATATGCATGCAAAATGATACATGCTGTAAAAAGAGGCAAATACTTTAGATGATAAAACACTGTATCACCATAATTAAGCATATGTGATATTGAGAAATGGTTACTGTGTACAACATATTGCAACACTGGGGAATGTGTGTTGTTCAAGCAATGGACAACTTCTGCAACTGAGCTCTGCCCCTGACCCTAGTTCCTCATCACAGCACTTCCTGCTATCCCAGCACACATAGCTCTGCACATTACAAATCCATGCACATGTGCATGCATGCGCGCACACACACACACTCTCTCACTCAGCCTAAGCACATTACAAATGATCTGCAGCACCCACTACAACAATACACCTGAGTCTCTTTCTAAGTATAGGTTAATCACTTATTCGATACAAAAATAGTGTAGACACTATTGGGTGCATCTACATGTGTGCTTTACTGTGGAGTTGACTAATTAGCTCCATAGTAAAGCATCACCGTTTACATACACGCGCTGGTATTAGGGCACAGAAAATGAACTCTGCTGTAAAATAGTACTGTTATTATCTTATGGTGAGTTAAGTGTGAAAAACACACAAGTAGATGGTGACAGGGGCTGGTTGGGGCATGAGGGTGCTAAAGTGTGTGGGCTGCCTGCCACCTAGCCACACAGCTCCGCAGGTTCTGCACCCTTGTGCCCCAGCCATCCCCTCTGCCACCTAATGCCACCACCCAGGGCTGACCCCCTGAGTCTGCTGTCAGCCTGGGGCTGTTCCACCCCACCTCTAAGTGTTGGTGTCCCATGCGCATGTGTAGACACTGCTCCTGGGAGCAGGTAACTCCAGCGTGAACAACTCCAGAGTTTATTGCATCATACTAAATTCACATGTAGATGTACCCACTGTGTAGTTGATAGCCTCTACTAAAAGGAGTTTTTGCAAATTTAGCCATCTGACCTTGGGCTTGACCCCCAGCCCTCTGAAATCAATAGAAAGTTTCCCATTGACATCAGGCGCTTTGGATCTCTTTTATTACCTGGAGTTTCTACCATGGAGCTCTGACAGATTCTCTGTTTTACCATTTGTATTATGGTTTGCCACTTTCCTGGTCATTCCCTCTTAGTTTGGTCATGCTCTGTGCATTGGGCATGATCCAAAGCCCACTGTAATCCCTGGACTCTTTTGACATCAGTGGATACTGGATTAGGTTTATTAGGATTTCTCAGTGAAACTGTCTCTCTCTCCTACTCACCTCTAGGTCTCAACAATCCTGTGAAAGGGTCTGAAAATAGAAAGCGATACAGTGACATCTTCGGGTGTTTGGATGCCTTAGAAATTTCACTCGGAAATGGGTATGTACAGAAATGGGATGGAACTAGCTTGAGGCTTCACATCTCTGTATCTGTTCTTTCCTCTTCCTTTAACTATAATTATACATTCATTGTATATATACTTATATATTTTGTTATTCATTATCTCAATTTCTCATTAAGAGCTTTTAGATTTGGAAAACCTTCAGAGCCCCTTCCATACTCCAGATCAGAGATCTTCTGCCCATTGTCTGGGTTACTTTACTACATTTTGCCTATTTTCTGTGCTAATCAGTCAGCTTCAGTCTTTCTGAATGCTAGAACATCTTACTAGAAAGAGGATATTTTCAGGAATTTTTTAATTTACATCAATGACAGTGGCAGCAGAATGTGACTCACTATTTGTATTATTGTTTAATAACAATAATACAATGTACAATGTATTTTGCTGTAATTCCTACAGACCACTCAGATTCAAGGCCCATTGTCCTAGATAATGTCCTAGTATTAGCAAAGATTATACAAAAGTCCCTGCCTCTCTCAGTCTTAATCCACACATACACGCTTTGTGAGCTTATTAGAGGCTAACTTCCAAAGCAGATGTACAGAGGAGGAAGAACACAGATAATGCTTTGTAACATATGAAATGATAAATGAAAGGGACTAATAATAAAAAACACATAATGGTTGGTAGTATATTAAAGTTAAACAGATAAAATTTCAGTGATAGCAGAGGACTTATTCAGATTTTGTTTATCCTGTTCATAATTAATTTAGAGATAAATGCAGGTAGCTACAAGTACCTTCAGCTGGTTATGCAATGGCTAAAAGGTGCATGAAAGCACTGTTTTTTATAACTCATGTGCTCTTAGTTGCACCCATAAAACCTACAAAAGTCATCGTATAAAAGATTTGGAATTGGTCACCTAGCTTTGTAATAACTGCTTCCAATGGGTAAAAAATTAGATCATGTATATTTGAACTCAACCAGATCAACTCATCTTTAACTCTTTCTCCTCTTCATATTCTGCAGTTAAAGCCCTAGTCATACACTTCGCAGCTTCTAAAACACCTCCAAGTATTTATTATTATTTAATTGGTTCATTTATTTTACAGGGCAGCTGACATGTTCATTAGTGACATTGACAGCCCTGGCACCACTGACCTGACCTCAGAGACAGAGACATCTCCGGTAGGACAAGAGTGAGACCCTACTTCAATGAAGAGATTAATAATTCCCTTTACTGAAATAAATGCTGCTTGTTTTGGCAGCGAGTATCTGAATAAAAGTTTATCTCTCTCATCTACAGAGAAAGCAAGCGATACTAGTGTGCTCAGATACAATGGTGATAATAGTACTGTAAGAGCCTATACAGAAGAAAGGATAAGAACTGGGGCTTGTCTTATTTTTTTCAGTTAACCTGAAGAGAAGAGACAGTGCTTCATGTGAACTTTCAAACACATGTAATTTAGATTTATTCTTGCCAATTAAAGAAGAGTAATTCAGATGGAAATCACTGGGTCATGTTCTGCGCTCTGTGTTATATAAGAGATCAGACAAGATGTCAGTATAGCCACTTCAAACTATTTAACAATTGTGAGCCAGCCTAAAGAATGAAATTGGCTTAAAATGGAGGGATTTTTTTTTTCTAATAAATCATAATTTGGAAACTTGAGTCTTTTGGTTACATACAATCATTCTCATTCACTACAACCAAAAAGGCTAGGAACTTCTTTGTTTTCCTGTGGGAATCAAAGATTCTCAAGTAATTTTGTGACTCCACAAAAGCCATATTGAATATTTGGAGAGTTAGCAACATTCGAAGATAGCAAATCCGTTCCAATCTAAAACTCTGTGTAACTGTATTAGAAATGTTCTTCATACTTTTGTTCATGGTCGAGTCTTATGCTATGCCCTGCCCCGCTCTGTCACATTATGGCAATCACCCCAACTACAGAGGGTTTCCTAGATAGGAAAAAGCGGAATCCAAGATTAGCTCTCAGTAACTTTCTCTAAACAGCTTGACACATGAAGTTCTGACCTTTTTTTCCTCTTTGATTTACAGAAAAATAAAAGTTTCTGCAAAAGCAAAAGCAACTCAGAGGGAAAGGTGCAGACAGACATCTCAGGTAACTTAAGAAAAGTAAAATAAGACACAGAGATAATCCAAGAATAACAGATATATATTATGGCATCTGTGTTTGTACACTCCCACTAACAAGAATGTGTCTTTCAGATGTCACCATGACACAGTCCAGAAGAGATGCATACATTTCATTATGGTCTGTTTAAGTTAAAAATCTTGCCAAGCTCCTTGTGTGCACATCTTCACCTGTTAAACTACATTCTAACATTGGTTTTGACTTTTGAGCTTCAAGAGTTTAATTACAATAAGCATCTGCCTGTTTTGTGTCTAATAAATATTGTATAATAAATACAATAATAAATAATATTGTATAATAAATATCTGCCCCATAAAGCAACTAAGACCCTGTTTTTAATATGCTATTGTTGCTCATGTGGGAGAGGCTTGGTGCCATATTCGTCAATGGCATCATGCGATTCAGTATAAAACCACGTCTTGCTTCTGGTGGACTTTACATTATCATAAACATAAGCCATTTTCCAAGCTGTTGGAACTGTCATTTTTTTCCTTGAAATTCTTTTAGTCTCAAATCAATGAAATAGGTAATTCTATCTCAGCATATCCAAGGAGAGGAAAGGCAAAGTAACTGCAGGTCAGCATATCAAGCATTGAGAGACCATCACACAAAGGGATCCAGTCTCTAATTACAAAATAAGCTTCATAAAAATGTCCATTTTAAAACATTTTACTGGAGACCAAATAAGCTTAAATTGCCTAGAACTCATAGAGCTCTTCTGGGAATTACCATGAGATCAGCTATTATCCTCTGGGAGTTCATTTTCTACAGCTATTATCTGAGATGGCACAAGATATCAGAGAGACTCAGGTTTTTACCACACTTGGGGAGCCTCTGCCAACTGAAGCTCATGAATCTGAATTTATTTTTGCAGTTGAAGAGGCTGATGAGATGCTGATAAAATGTGAAGGTGGTGTGGAATATGCCCTTGAATATGCCAAAATGTGGTGTAAATATGTCAAAGAGCTGCTCTTTTGGATTGACAAACGCCTGAATTATGGTGAGTCCCTTTAGTGGAGTCCATAGTCAGCTCAGGGCAACAGGCCAGCTCTGAGTTGGTGCACTCTGCTAGGGTGGGACTTTGCAAAGCCAACAACAGGGTACTGTAGACAGTAGTGGATGCAAATATACTATTGAGTAGGTTAAAAGCTCATCTTCTAACTTGGGTCTCAGACAGATATAAAGATAAAGATTCACATTCTCAGTAGCCAAAACTAGATTTTTTTTGTGTGTGTCCTCAAACATTTCTTAGAATTCTGCTAGGATAACTGATTCACACATTGCAGCAGCTGTTTTGGGGAGATGTGTTCCCTGCCAGGGAAAATATAGAATCTAACCTGTTCTTCCCTTTCACAGAAATAGAGTTTGCCAAAAGCATTGTGAAGATAGCAGAATCAGGCCGACATGCCATTAGGCATCAGGTACAATTTATTTGGAATACTCTTTCTTTCACGGCTTTCCCTGTTCATGGAGCTTATTGTTCCACTCCATAAATCACCCATGGAGCTCTGTTTTGAATCATGCTAAGGTCTATAGAGTATGATTTCCAATTCTTTAAAAGCAAGGAAGGCACTTCAAGGAAGTTCAGTAGTTTGCTGTAGGCAAGACGAAATAAGGGGATTAAGAACATTCTAAATGCCAAATAGTGAAACCAAATCAGATCCATGGTCCTTCCAATACAGTATGCCCTGGTCTCTGATGACAGACAGAACCAAATGTTTCTGAGGAAGGCACCAGAAACCTTGCAACAGGCTAATGTGGGCTATTCTCTCTTCCTGTGGCAAATTTCATCTTGACTCCTACTAAAGTCTCAAAGCATGAACTTTTTGTCCCTTGCAGAACTGTTTTTAATTGTCCACTCAGCATTGGGACAATTCCTTTTTATATATTCCTACATATGATAATAAAAGGAGCAAGAGTCATCTTAGATTCTAGACCACTGGCATCCAACTGATTCAGCCTCATGCTGCACTCTGCCCTGATCTTGACCTTGTGTCAGAGAGATCCACCATCCCAATCCAGCCTCACACCATCTGCCTACTGGATCCAGCCACACACTGCTCTGATTCGGCCCCACACCAGCTAAGTCCAGCTGTGTGCTGTCCACCTACTGGATCTGACCATATGCTGGCATGATCTGTTGTGCAGGGCTATGTTATCCAGCTTGTGGAGCTCCCTGTGGGTCTGGAAATTTGGCAGCAGGGAAGCAGCAATTAACACTGCCACTGCTCTTCTGCTGCCAAGTTTTTGGATCTGAGGGGGGCCCCACAAGCAGATGATACAGCTCCATGGGCTAGATCTGACCCATGAGCTTCAGCTCTAGATAAAGGGATGAATTTGTATTATGTCAAAGGAGCACAATAGAGAATAAAAGCTCCTTTGCTACTTTGTAATGTACAGGATCTGAAATGCCTACCACCAATGTAATCAATGTGGATGATCATTTTTGTTTATAATAAGAATAATCTCTTTGATTTGGAGAGGCTGTGGTGATTGTCTAGTATTTTATATACATACTCTCTCTCCACAGTGTGACATGCCTCTCCAGTTGCTTTACACCAGCGTCATGGACTATGACATAAAGGCTGGGGGTACAGCCACTGACACTGTAGTGCAGCTACAGCTGAGAGAATACTACCAGGTAGAGTATTTCCTGCTTTTGTTGGACAGCTTCACTGCAGTGGTTAGGCAAGCGAGCAGCCACAATAGCTCAAGAGCCCATTAATCTGATTGAAAGTAAAGGGAGGAAAATTCACATTTAGCTTCAGAAAGAATGAAATTACCCCCAGGAATGCAGTAGCCTGAGAAGTTCAGTATCTGATGTTACAATCTCAGCCACTCAATGATTCTTCCTACCTTAACAAGAGCTGGTGCTGTCATCAGACCCTGGCTCTTCCTGCTTTCCTGTTCAGAGCATCCGTAATGAAGCTCAGCTGATTCAGGTAGACAGGTATTGGCAAATGAGCCAGAAATCAGCATGTCCTCCTTACCAAGTGGATGTCCTCCTTACTAAGGAACTATCCATGTTGTTCTGTAAGTTCCTGCAAGAGCACAAGCCTAGAGCCCCTTAGGGCCTTTTTAGAGTCATGTTCCAGAGCAGAACACATTGCAATCCAATCCTGCCCATTCTTCCATGCTTGCAGAGGCTGTTCCTGCTCTACTGAGCAGGAAAGATGCAGGAGGCAGTGCACACGCTCTGTAGGGCAGGCACCTTCACCCCACAGGGTTCCAGGCCCAGCTCTTCAGAACTAGGTGCCTGTACACATGCGGGATGCGTGCTCCAATTAGTTACAATTAGAATAAGTTGGCGCAAACTCGATTGGAGCATTCTAATTGGAATGCTCTAGCAGCCTCACTGTCACATATATTCAGTGCCCCTGCATTTCAAAATGGCAGCAGGGGTACTTTAACTGAAGCTTGTCGAACAAGCTTTAGTTAAAGCACGTCTGCCACTATTTTGAAGTGTGGGATGATGAATACACGAGACACTATGGGCATTTTAATCAGAGCAGCTCCCCAAGGTGTCCCCCCACTCTCCCACCCTGGAGCGTGTGCACTGTAGCTATTCAAGCCATCTGCAATGGAGAGGTGACACGGTCTGCTTTAGGTTGCAAGTGCAGTTGTAGAGTAGCTCAAGGATGAGGGTTTCTGGCTTCCCACTAACTCTCACGGTGCCCAGCTAAGTACTTTAGGGCGGAGGTAGAACTGGTGCTGCAGACTTACCCTTGTTATAGTGTGGGGCAACACAGAGTAATCTGGTTCCATTAAACTTTCTGGTGGGTGCATGAAAAGCAGATGCAATGGCTACTATTAACCTCAGCAAGCTGCCCCACTAACAGAGGCAAGGTTAGCATCCTGATTGAAGCCAATTGGACATTTTATACCAAAATGGTTTTCATCAGAAAATGCCAATTTAATTAGACTTTGAGGGAAAGTATCAGTTTCAACAGAGCCTTCTTCAGGAATGTTTCTCAAGCCCAGCCTGTAATTTCTATTCAAAACCTGATTCAGAACAGGAAGCCTATATCCTGGATGAATGCTGGGTTCATAACTACTGGGTTACTGGCTATTCTGGATGCTGCTGTCCATGGTTTGTCATGGAAAATTTCAACAAGTCTTGGGTTTGACCTAATGCAGAACTGGAAAATTTCTGAAATTTTGAAAAATTTGGGGGAATGGGAAAACTTTTTCCCATCTAGGTCTAATCCTAAAAAGGCTCCTTAAGCACCACCAGCCTTTGTAGACCAGGGCAAAGGAGCATGACTGGAGCACAAAAATATTAGGGACACTTCTTGGGTCTATCTTCTGTGACCTCCTGTCTAATACAAGCCATAGGACTTCAGTCAGAGGCCTGTGCTAAGCCCAGAAGCTTGTGATGGAGATAGTATGTAGGCATGTAATTTTCACTTGCACTGTAATTTCCTTGCAGCCTCTTACAGCCAAGAGGAATGAAATTGAAAAGTGGCGGAAAGAATTTAAGGATCAATGGACAAAAGAACAGAAGAGAATGGTAAGAGCCCTGGAGATGGCAGGCTGTGAGAGAGCCACATGCTTATGTCTGGCAAAATAATGAGAATGCCAGGCCTGTGAGAGCACACAGTAAAAAGTGCTAACAGCATCCTAACTGGGACTGCTTTTTCCTGTCCCACACTGCCCTATTGGTAAAGGCAGGAAAGCACTTGCTACATCCCCATGCAAAGATCATACAGGAAGGCAGTATACCCCAGGTTAATCTCTTTTCCACTAGCTCCCCTTAAAAGGGATGAGGTGGTGAGGAACCCTGTGACAGCCAATTCCTCCCCGACAGGATCATCAAGAGAACCCCCTGCCAATAAACTATGTGGAAAACACTTCTGATTAGCCACGTGCAAGGGAAAAATCATGCCCCAGTTTTCTAGTTTTTAGGACTCAAAGGCACATCTACACATCACCCTATGGTGATGTTGTTACTGCGCCATGCTTTAGTACTTCCTTTTGGAAAAGCAGATGCAATGGCTACCTATTAACGTTTTGGAAACACTAAAGGATGTCGCAGTAACTGCCCATACTGCACCGAATGGATGGCACACCGTTATTTTTAGCCACCACTTTGCCGTAGCAGCGCACTAAAACAGGGGAGCACACCACTACGGTAAAGTAGCTGCCAGTGACATGTAGATGCACGTGGTCACTACATTGCTGTAGTGCATTGCTATGGCAAGGTAGCGCAATGTGTAGACATGCCCAAAGAAAACTTTCTTAATATCTCTTAGTGCAGCAATGTCCGCCTGAATTTGCAAAGAACACAAAACAACTCTGACACCTAACAATAATGATCACGAACATGTGTATAAGTAGCTGAAGGTCTAAAACAAGGATGGTGAGTTAGGGCAATGGGACTAGAGAAGGAAATTAGCAGATATTGAAATCTGTTCCCGATAGTTGATGGTGTAAGCAATACTGGTGTACAGCCTCACCTTTCCTGCTGATTCCTAGCTATATGGGAATGAAGGTAGGCATGTGTGTGACCCCCAGCAGCAGTGGTCTCCCTCCAGCCTGATGATGTGTCCTAAGTAAGCTCTTTGTCCGATTACAGAATGATTCCTTATCATCCTTGCGCAAGTCCCGTCTGCACTACATACAGCGCTGTGAGGAGCTGGAGAAAGCCAAGTCACTGAGTGCCAAGGCAGAGGATGAATACCAGAACATGGCTGCAACTCACCCTGGCAGTGCCAGCAAGCAGCTGGAGAAACGGCGCCGGTCTCGTGAGGAAGCACAAGCAAAGGTAACTGTCATGGATCATGGAGCTCTCTCTCTTGCTCACTCATGAAGAAAATGTCACCATGCTGTTATGGACACTTTTCATTTGCCAAAACTTGTTCTGGGCTAAATAAAATATTGATAACATTTTCAGTTTAAAATGGAATGACAGCAATTTGGGGAATACCATACATTAGTTTGTTTCACTAGGTTTACATTTTCATCCAGCTCTAGGATCAGTGCTTTGACCTTAAGATTTCCTGGTGTGACAACAAGCTAAGACCTGCCTGAGTAGCAGCCCAATCCCTATCCGAGATACTAAAAGATGCTTGTTGAAGTGCCTGGAGTCTGCAGACATGGCAGTGACCACTCTAGTCTCTAAATTTATCTTAGGAGCATAAGGTGAACTCTGTTCAGGATGTAGCAGCAGGCCTGGGACTTACCATTTACCAGCACTAAGAAGCCCATAGCCTCCAGCTTGCTCTGGCTCCTATCTCACTTGACAATCCCATTCATGGCTGCTCTGTGATCTGCACCATGGACTCCTTTTCATCATTCTCAGGGTGAGGATGCCTGGCACTGGCTTCTGTTTCATTCTGTGTTTACCTGCCCCCAGGTTCAGGAAACTGAAACTACTTACAAGACATGCATCACTGATGCCAACTTTCGCCGGCAGGAACTGGAAAAGGTGCGAGAGAGGATTGTCTCCCACATACGGAAACTTGTTTACCAAGGAGATGAGGTGCTAACCCGGGTAAGTAGGAGACAACAACTACGCAACGTCCCTCTATCTCAGACACAGAGGAGCTGCTATTTGAGTCAGGTCTCCATGGTCCCTCTCTGCTTTACTGGTAATTATCCTACACATGGCTGCCCATAGGAGACATCAGGTCATATTCCAGACATTTGTTTAGCATTCAGCACTAGCTTTACAAAGAGTAGCACTCAATATACCTAGCAATTACAACCACAAATCTCCTACTGCATTGGAGAGTCTCTGGTTTACGGCTGAACAACTGATGGTTAATACAAAAACCTGAGATCAGGATGCAGGGTAAGAACTAGTGGAAAAAACTCATGCTGTAGTTAACTTGGCACAGGGTAGGCAAAGTTCTCTCTTGGTTGCCAAAGGAGTCCCTGTTGGTTCTCATACTAGAATTACATTTCCTTCAGCAGCTAGAGGTGGGGAAAGGGACTGTATTTTGATGGTTTTCATGCAGACTCATTTAAACTAAGTGCATTTTCTAAATAGAATTTAAGGGTAGGTAGGAATATCCATAAGCAAGAGAAGTACAAGTAATCAAAGGGTTTGTGCAAGAGTTCTACAAACAAGTTGAAGTTAGAGCCCAGGGAAGACCCCCAGCCTCAGTGTTTCAAGCTTTTTGTTGTTTCCATAAAGGTTACCCTGAGGATGTTCAAGCTGCGGCAAGATCAGGCAGAGAAGATTCCATTGGATTACCAGACCATGACTGAATCCTGCAAACCCTACAAAATGGGTGAGAAATACCTGGATTTTATTCAGAAGCTGCAGAAGAAAGAGAATATCGTGGAGGTGTTTGAATTTGAGCCATATACTCCTGTGGGGAAGAGGTAAAGAAGTAGAGAACTGCTTGAGAGTTTTGTCTTCTTATAGATATAAAGCACTGTGTACATCTATGGTAGAATTATATATATTAGTACTTATTGTTATTACCTTATTGTTATCTGGGATAAGCCATTTCACAAAATCTGCTTGTACCTCATTCTCAGGTCTCCCTCTAGCGGTAGAAGAAAGAATCCACCCCAGCACACTGGAATCTCCTTCTCAGCTACTGATCTGACCTCCTCCTCAGAAGATGCATCAGGAAAGCAGCTTTCCTAAAACTGTGAACAAAGTCAGATTAATTTGAAAAGAAACATTAATATTCTCCCTTGTGATACTGAAGCTTGATTTCTGTATTTAGGTAGCCACGAGTCACAAAGATTGGTTTATAATTACCTCTAAAGTAAGACCAAACCCATTTTCCAGCTTGCAACTGGAAGTGATTTGAAGGCTACATTTGTATAGAAAAGATTTCAGGCCCATAGAAGTCTGTTCCCTGATTGACTCCAGGCATTTTATTTTTACCACAAATTCAGGTGTCACTCATTCACCATCTACCTCTGAGACCAGAAGAATGTTCCAAAAGGAAAATTCTCCTCCAGTGTCATTCTGAGATTCTGTCAGATGCCAAAGTGTCATTTGGGGAATGGTTTATTTCCATGACAAGCCTTGTAGCAATTTAACAATGGGACAAAAAATGCTGGTCCCTGGCCTGCATGCTTTGAAAGCTCTTGTTCATCTCCAGCGATATGACCTGAACTGGAGATTTCCATCCAGGTTTAGAGATTAGGACTGTGTTCCCTTCCCCCTGAATCTTTGCCTCTTGTTTCTTTATCCTGTGAAAATATTAATGGATTTTTCTGGCAACTATGGACTTGGTGACAGCCTGCACATCACTGGCCCTTTTTATAACTCCATATTTGATTTCATACTTGACTACTTCTTATGTGCATCCCAGCTCAGAGTGGATGTGATGGTGCAGTGAAGCCCATCAGCCTTCTACCATTATTCTTATCAGTTCAGTCCCCGGAGTATACAGCACTCAAGTTTTACTTGAGTGCTTTTACTTCCTCCTTTCATAGGATATCACATTTCATTACAGGTCTGACACTGTTTTTACCACCTAAAAATCTCTCTCAAAGACATTTTGGAAATTACATCCCTTCGGTAGAAAACAACTCTCTTTACACTTTTATGACACAAAAGGACATTCCTGGAGGGCTTCCTAAAGTCTGACATGGTTCAGCAAAATACCTGCAGATCACTGTATGTGTCTATTTGTTTGTCACTATGCCTGTGTTTTCACTTTAGAGTTATCCACAGAAGGTTGAAGGGGTCCTGTGGTTCTGGGGAATTATTAATACAAATAAAGACCCAGGCAGAAGAAATATGGATAGCAGCACTTAGCAATCACTACTGAAACATTATGGTGTTGAGATGATTCTTATCATGTTATTCACCTTTTATAGGTGCAAACAAATCATGGAGTGACACAGAAAGCCTTGGTGGGAGCGGTGAATTCCAATCCCCGGATTCTCCCACTTCCAGCCCAGGTGAGAAGAACAGTAATTTCTACCCAATATTCAAACTAACAAAAAAATTACAAACAGAAATAAAATGTGGCATTGGAGTTTTTTCTAGGGAAAAAATCCCAAAGAACTCCTTTACTGTCTAAAATATAAACCCTTCTTTCTTGTCTCCAGGGAACTTTAATAGGAGGTTGCTAAAAGCTTCATCCACAGGCACCATGTCCTCCTTGGATGATTTTGAGGAGAGAGATTCATCTCAAACATATGAAAATGGTAAGCAGTAAAGAAAAATGATTGACAGATGAGAGAACACAGTAGAATTCTGCTTCCCATTGATGTTATGCGTACTTAAGTGAGATTCACACATGCAGCCCTGCCAGTGCTGTAGCTGTCTAGTTCAGTATCCCATGCAGTCATACGGCCCTCCAACTCAGTTGCAAGCTGTAAGCATCGCAGCTATGGTTTCCAGCCTTCCCCAAACACAGACACACACACTGCTCTGCTGAGACTCCTCCATCACAACTCACAGTCCCCTCTTGTTATCCCAGCCCAAGTCTCATTAAAACTGCAGCTGCTTCTCAGGGAATACCCCACTATTTGATTGCAGCTCAAGTAAACATACCCAAACTAGCCAGCTCTGGTCCTGGTAGGCATGCTGGCAGTGCTAGCTAAAATCCCATCCCAGGTCCTTCTCGCTCTATAGTGCTGTTCTGCCAGCAATCTGTTGAGCACTCCCTGCTCTTCTAGCCAGAGGTACAGATCTGCTGTGGCACTGTCTGAACAAACAGGCTGCCAAATTCCTTTACATTTCTAATAAACATGGATGACCTTTTACAATGTCCCCTTTTTCTGTTTAAATGATTCTGCATCAGATAATGGATCATTCCAGTGCCAGTTCAAGAACCTCACTTTGTCAACTGCGGCACAGACCCACCGGCTGCGAAAACTCCGGGGCCCATCCAAATGCAGGGAATGTGAAACCTTCATGGTCAACGGCATTGAGTGTGAAGAGGTGAGAGAGCCCAGAACCCCACAACCGTCCTGAGTCTGCCAACTGTACCTGCAGTAACCTTGCTCAAGGGCCAGAATGAAGGCAGAGGAGGGTGCATCTCCCAATGGGAGGCAAAGGAACAATGCATAAGGGGAAGCAGCCTGTGATATTTCCCAAAGAAATACCTGAATTATTGAACAGCTGAGTTGTCATTGCTGAGCTGCAATTCATATCTAACCCAACACTGTCCTGTCATTGCAGTGCTACTTGGCCTGCCACAAGAAATGCCTGGAGAACCTTCTGGTCACCTGTGGCCGTAAGAAGCTGCCTGCCCGCATGTCCCTCTTCGGCATCAACTTACAGCAGGTCTCCTTGGATTCCCCAAATAAAATTCCATTCATAGTCACAAAATGCACGTCAGAAATTGAGGCTCGTGCCCTCGGAGTCCAGGTGAGCAGCACAGCAGTTGCACCCACATAAGACCCAACCCTGCTCCTGCTGAGGCCTAGGACAAGGCTTCCTTTGGTTTTAATGGGAGCTAGGTTGGGCCCTTGGCACCTTTCATCTCAAGGCACTTCACAGGGTTAATCATTGACAGGTCCTCTGGCAGCTGGCATATCCCACACTGAGACACAGAAAGAATTCTCTTCAATTCCTATCAGCTCTGCTGTCCCTGCCATTCAGTCTCTGCATGTTACATGTTCTAGAGACGATATCATATCAATGCCGTGTTCTTTCTTTGTTTTTGCTGGCAAATGCCTGCTCCCTCTTCTCTTCTCCACTCTGTACCTGAGATTCCTTGACTTTGCTCTATTTAACAATGCAGGGGATCTATCGGATAAGCGGGTCCAAGGCCCGGGTAGAGAAGCTCTGCCAAGCATTTGAAAACGGCAGAGACCTGGTGGAGCTCTCGGAACACTCTCCCCATGACATCACTAGTGTCCTGAAGCATTTCCTGAAGGAGGTGAGTAGCAAGTCTCTCAGGGAAGCCAGAACCCATCTCTGGTCCCAACCACTTGAAAGCTCCAGGTTTGGCTTCCTGGGGCAGCCTTGGGGGCAGCTCCTGCTCTCGTGTTTCTCTTTCCTAGGTTTTTGAGGCACTGAAATGTGGCAATGCCTCTTTGTTGTAGGATCAGGCATTAATTCTGTCAGTTGTCTACTCCTAGAAACTGATCTTGTTACAACCTCTTCTGTGGTGCTATAGGCATGACTGTCCAGGATGCCTGTGGACTCCCAATCCTAGCTAGGTACAGTGTGAATGCTCATGGCTTACAATGGGTGATGTCAAGCAGGGAACCTAATGCTTCCCTAAGTAGTAGCAGGTCTTGGATACTTTTGATCCTTCCCCATATTTAGCCTATGTAAATGGCAATTCTGGTGGGGGCTGGCCTCAACACTGAGATAAGAACTGGAGAGAGTCTGAAAGTGCAAGGTTGATTGGGGCTAGAACTGGGGGCCACTGACAGCAGCAAAGGGTCATGATGAGATTTTGCTCAGATAATCAAACAGGCAGGATGCAATAACAGTTTTCCCACCCTGCCCCTTGTAGCTCTCAGAACCTGTGCTCCTGTATCAACTCTATGATGAGTTAATTGCACTTGCCAAGGATCTGCAGAGACCTGGAGAAGGGAAGAGAGACAGCTCAGGGTTTTCATCAGACCCTATCCAGAACATGAAGGACGTGCTGCACAAACTGCCTCTAACGAACCACAACACCCTGCATCATCTTGCTGCACATCTATACAGGTAAGGGATGCAGCAGTTGTCTTGTTGATTAGACACACCAAGAGGAGCAGCTATGGTGTCTGCATCAAAAGAGGCCAGGGAGGACAGCTGTGAGAGAGGCAAAAGGCCAAAGGGAAGTTTGGATTCTAGTGACTCCAAGCAAGGGGGAAGGAAAAGCTATTGATGTGAAATGGGATGTCTTTTGCAAAGCAAAAAGCCAGTAACTGACAAGCGCTTTGGACTGCTAGCTCCTTTCATCCAGCATGGAAGAAGGATCACAGTGATAACCCCCATCTCTGGGAGCTGCACTTTTCACCAGGCTTAGAGAAACCCCAGGAGCAGCTCTGTAGTCTGAGTGTATGCAAAGCAGTGCATTGTCTGTCCATTCCCTCCACCATTCCCACCTGTCTAGCTCCCTGCAGTAATTTATTTCTTTGTTAGAGGTAATTAGCCTTGTTAGTCTGAAGTCAAGGAGAAGATATGGTAGATTTGTACTTTACAGACTAACCAGATCAGAAGTGCATGCGCTTTCATAAGCGGCAGCTTACTTCATTTGATGAATGAAGCTTATGTATCTGATTTAGTCAGTCTATAAGGTGCAAAGCTACCCTGCCTTCTGCCTTTCTTTACTAGGAAAGGATTGAATCAGCTTACTCTATACCAGCTCATTCCATCTGTCTGCCCATTGCAGTAGGGCTCAGGGTTAGAAGCCCCTAACAATGTTGTTTCCCTTCTCCAGGGTGTCTGAGAGATATGAGGAGAACAGGATGTCCGCCAACAACTTGGGGATAATCTTTGGGCCAACGCTGATCCGACCCAGTGCAGGGAGCGATGTCTCCATGACCTGTCTTGTAGACTCTGGATACCAGGCACAGATTGTAGAGTTTCTCATTCTGAACCATGAAAGGGTCTTTGAGCGTTTTGCCTTGGCCCCTGGATGCGAAAACCCTTCACAAGAGGCCTTGGCGCCGAAAGATGAAGAGCAGCAGAGCCCCAGCAAAGACAAGACTATGACCCAAGAGGTAGAGCTCCCAGACACTGAGCTGGCCTCAGTGACCCTGTTGTGACAGGGAAGAGGACTGGAAGCTAAAGAAAACTTTCTTACAGAAAGTGGTCAAATTTGGCATCAGTAGGTTATTCAGAGAGCAAAAAGCAGATGGGTCAATCCTTGTGGAATGGGAGTAATGAAGAAATGTTAAGCAACAGATCACTCAGAGTGTGCAGTCCTCCTGATATGATTCAGGTTTCTCCAGATTAAGTTACTTAGGATATTACTGTTTCTCTCAGTAAACAGATAGTTTTACAGCTTGTGGAACTGGCAATATATAAATAGCAAAGACTGGCAGGATGCCCAGCACATCCCACATGGCTTTGCTAGGACTGCTCCCCTGAAGTGTGGGAGGGTGGTAGCCAAACATGCTGTATTTCTGTGCTGCTGTAAACCTGAAGCATTCCCAGCTCCCCTGTCTTCCCCACTCTTCCCTCACAATCACTATTAGCAGTATTCCTCTTCACAGCACTTTAAAACCTGAATTGGCACAACACCTTGGGAACTGGATCAGGGTTATAATATTCATTTGACAATTGGCTTAACTGAAGCCAGGGAGCAGGGAAGTAGTCAGAGGGCAGCAGAGAGGGAGGCAGCTGCCAGAATTATAGGGTAAGGGGCCCTAAAGTCCTGTCCCCTGCATGTGCAGGCAACTGTTTACCCAAGAAGTTCCCAAAATTGCCATTTCAAATCCTCACATGCAACTACAGTGTACAAAATCAGAAACTCCAGGAACCACCTGTTATGTGCAGTGGGTAGACTGGGGAGACAAGGGTGCTACCAATGCTCTACCACTGCAATGACAGAGAAGTAATTAGTACATGGTCAAAGGCTCCTAGGAAGATGACTGGGCCCTTCTCAAAAACTTCTAGCCTGGGAAGATGATCATTCCTTATTACCTAATGCTTTCTTTATTAAAAAT